AGAGACACACACACAGAGACACACATTGACACACATTGCCACACAGAGACACCCAGAGCGACTCAGAGAGACATGGAGACACACAGAGACACCCAGAAACACTCAGAGACGCAGAGACGCAAACATGCGCAGAGACACAGAGACACAGACGCGCACCCCAAGACTCCGATCCCAACCCAACCGTAGCGAGACTTTGCATGGTCGGATTTTTGATCGGACCGGAATTTCGCGGAGCATCTTCACCCTTTCACTTGTGCCACACGTCAGGTGGGGACGGCGAGAAGACAAGATCACGTATCATTGAGGTGCAGCCGGACAACGGAGGACGGGCAAAAGAGATGGAATTAGATTGAGACACGCTTCGCTGTTCCCTCCAATCCTAAGCTCCTGGACCCGATACCACCTAGATGCTCAATTATCCCGACAACCGAAATCCTGTACACATCCGGGTCGCATGCGGTTTGTCATCGATTTCCCGACCGTTCACACATTTTGAGCTGGCCACTAACACTACAGCTGCCGCTGCGATGACGACGGAAACTACTGGTGTTCGTACTACTAGCATTGTTCTATCGTCAAAAGCTCCACCACCCCCTGGCCCAAAACCGAATCCCCAAACTTAAAAACTCGAGCTCAGGAACACTGAGTCTGAAACCCCCAAGCCCGAACCCTAAACCCTAAACCCTAAACCCTAAACCCTCGAGACCACAAGAGGACGGCTCTGTCCGCCGCACGTGAGCGCCGAGACGGCCCATTGCATCTTGCGGCCGGCACCCGAGCGGGTTTAGGATCTCAGCGTCGCCGACTGCCTTTGGGTTTTGGGGTTCTTAGGGTTCTTAGGGTTTAGGGTTTTGGGTTTTGGGGTTCTTAGGGTTTAGGGTTTGGGGTTTTGGGGTTCTTAGGGCTCAGCGTTTAGGGTTTTGGGGTTCTTAGGGTTCAGGGCCAGGGTTTCGGGTGTGGGACGGCGCTGTTTATTCATAGGTTCATGTACCCCAATCATATTGACCTTCTTTCGTTTCCATGAGTTGTATTGTCAAGCTGAGCATATTGGTATGAAAGACATACTCACGAACGGCTGCCATTGTTTTTTCGTCCATGTCGCCAGAATCTTCATCATTGGCGTCATCACAGCAAGCATAACTGCATTGTTATCAACATCACCGCCATCAGCACCGTCACCATCTCCTTGGCAGCAACGGCATCGTCATCACACTGCAGTGTTTCGTCTTGTTCTTAATGCGTCTGATGGTTTCGAACTGGAGCACGGTGAACAGTCTTTGTATGTTACAACTACCTTGCGAAAACCTACGTTTGTCTCGGCATAGCCGTCGCCCGAGGCCCTGTGCAGACTCCGCGAAGCAGGACCCTGCGTTGTATTTGAATGCTCCGGCTGTTGAGGGTGCATTGCAATCATCGGAACTAGGGTATCTAGATTTCGAAGCCGCTTCGTGCTGATTCTTCTTCAGCTGTCCTTCACACGCTCTGACTGCTGTCTTCGTCGTCAAAGACGCCAGTGCCCCGTTTTGTGTGGGCCCCAAGGCTTGAATTTCAAAGCCGACAATCTCCACCATCTCTGAGGCGGAAAAGAGCACTGAGCACTCAAGCTTCTGAAGGCCCACCCCAGTCCCCGAATGGAGCCATTGAAAAAGCCTAAGCCTGGGCTTAACCGATATGGTGGTTCGATTCTTTTCCAACTTTTCACTCAGAGCCCACGCCCTGTGAAAGCCTCTTTTTTTTAAATACACCTTTATATCTTAATACCAGTTTTCGAACCCCATGGAGTCTCTGGGCAGTATCCCTAAACCCTAAACCCTAAACCCTAAACCCTAAACCCTAAACCCCTAAACCCTAAATACCAGTTTTCGAACCCCATGGAGTCTCTGGGCAGTACCACCCCGATGTGTTTCTACGCAGGACTGCCTCTGGGCCCTCTGGCAAGATTGGTCTGCCTGCTCCAAGGCTCGTAGAGTAGGGACTAATATAGGGTTTAGGGTTTAGGGTTTAGGGTTTAGGGTTTATATAGGGTTTCAGGGATAAGGGTTTAGGCTTTAGAAGAGGGGAATAGTGTTCCCATGCAGTCCCTATAGGGGTATAGTAGGCGGCTAGAATACTCCCCCCTATCATACCCTAAGCCCTAAAACCAAACCCCAAACCCTAAACGACGCACCTTCAAACTAGCCCAACTCTGAATCCCATTGTTTTGGACTACCGGTTCAATGCATACGGGAATGGACGAGAAGTGCATAAAGATGAAGATCACGACCGGCATGCAAGAATAGTTGAATAGAACACATGCAAACGTACATATGTGCACAGAAATGTAACGAAACATGTGCGGGTAGCTGTATGGATATAGTCTGATAAAGTCGATACAGTCAGTAGCAACAACCAAGACACTGGGATTTCCATATATGTGAGATATACCCACACATAGACAGATAGATAGGTAGGTCGTTAGATAGATAGATAGATAGATAGATAGATAGATAGATAGAGAAGTGTGCAAAGCTTCTTAGCTCCCTTCAATAGCTCCGTGCAGTCCTGCGGTGGTGGCGAGAAGCAGCGCTCCAGAAGCATCGCCATCGAAGCGTCCGGGGCTCAACAAGCAAAGGGTCGATGCTGACTACGACGACGAGGAGGAGGACGACGATAACGATGAATAGCATGACGGTGTTGATCGTGTTGATGAAGTGATGTCGGCGATGACGGTCATGATCTCGCTGCTGTGATGCTGACGACGATGATGTCGATCAACAACGTGGCTGCGGCGGCGGTGGTGGTGGTAACGGTGATGGTGATGGTGGCGCATCCCGACTGAGGGTCCAAACTGCGTTGCTGCTGCAGCACATAGTGATGCAAAGGCTAGACTGCGGCTAGACTGTAGCCAACCAGCCTTTCAAAGATGCACCATCAAGGGACTAACAGTTCAACATTGGGTAGTTCTTACTAGTATCCCCGTATAGTTCCTACAGACTTACCCTCTGAAGTACCCTAAAATCCTACTGTACAGTTTCGGGCCTTGAGCCCTGAAGCCCCTGTTGCAGAGCCCTTTGCAGAATCCAAGACAGAGAACCCGTTGTAGACCCTTCAATGAGCCCCTGTAGCCCATGGTTTCTTCTCTTTCCCTGCCCCAAAACTCGAAACCCCAAGCCCCAAACCCTAAGCCCAGGTCCCGGGGCGGCGCGGGTTGCGAGGGTGTCTTCGAGGACTTTGAGCTCTGTGACCAGGAGCCCTGCGCGCTTTTCAGGGTTTGGGATCAGGCTCTTGGGGATTAGGCCCAGGCGCTCAAGGGTCTGGGGTGTGCGTGCAGTGTTAGAGGTTTGAGTTTAGAGTTAGGGTTTCGTTAAGGGCTTTAGGAAAGTAGGGTGTAGGGTACGCTTTGTTCAGCTCCAACATCTTGTGATTGACTGCACATGCATTGCAGCGCACTAGTGCTATGCTTGATGGTTCTGAGTATGATCATCGTGCTTGCTACTGCTATTTTTGCAGGCTGGAAAACTCTTGACTATCACATGGTGGTTACAATTCACAGCATTAGAGTCCACATGCACTGCGCCAACTATGGTTAAACTTAGCCGCGGTGATAATGGCAGCTGGTACTGTCAATCTTGTTAATGCTATCTGGACTACTAGCACTAACTACGTGCTGCTAGTAACGTTATCGTCCATAGATTATTCTGATACAATTACAGTACTTCTGTCTGCATTAAAGCTGCAGCCTTTTCGGAAGGTGCTGGCCATACATGCCTTGGCATACTGTTGTCACTTCAGTCATGTAGGCTTGTTTCTATCTTCAACGTTCATACAATTCTTGCGTAGCGGTTTGTAATTTGTAAGTAACAAGTACGAGAGAACCTGTCGTAACACGGTCGCAAGCACTGTGCAACTGAGCATGCATACCATTAGCATCTCATCACCCAACAACAATGGATGTGATTGCCGTGGATTAGTCTCACATTTATCCTCTACACTAAACCCCGAGCCCTAACCCTAAACCCTAAACCCCTAAACCCTGAACCCCTAAACCCTAAACCCTAAAACCCTAAACCCCTAAACCCCCAAACTGCCAGGAGCTTTGCCCGACCTTTGGGCAAGACTGCGAGTTCGGGCCGTGGACGCCCTGGTCCGACTGCTCGGCCACGCCAGGGCCCTGAGGTCTTCGAAGCTTCGGGTCCCACGGCTTCAGGGGTTTAGAGTTTAGGGGTTCAGGGGTTCAGGGTTTAAGGGTTTAGGGGTTTAGGGTTTAGAGTATAGGGCTTCAGGGGTTTAGAGTTTAGGGCTTTTGGGCTTCAGGGGTTCAGGGCTTTAGGGTTTAGGGGTTTGGGGGTTAGGGGTTCAGGGCTTTAGGGGTTCAGGGGTTCAGGGTTTAGGGGTTTAGGGGTTTAGAGTTTAGGGCTTTTGGCGTTCAGGGGTTCAGGGTTTAGGGGTTTAGGGGTTTAGGGTTTAGGGTGTAGGGGTTCAGGGCTTTAGGGTTTAGGGGGTTTGGGTGCAGGGGGTTCAGGGCTTTAGGGGTTTAGGGGTTCAGGGCTTTAGGGTTTAGGGGTTTAGGGGTTAGGGGTTCAGGGCTTTAGGGTTTGGGGGTTTAGGGGTTCAGGGCTCTGGGGTTTAGGGTTTAGGGTGTAGGGGTTCAGGGCTTTAGGTTTAGGGGGTTAGGGTGCAGGGGGTTCAGGGCTTTCGGGGTTTAGGGCTTTAGGGGTTTAGGGCTTTAGGCGTTAAGGGTTTTAGGGTATCAGAGGGGTTCTTGGAAGTTAGGGAAATGGGCATTCATTGATGGATCTGAAATGTGCCATGGAGACTTGGTGGGTGAGTCCAGGTCTTCTGGAGTCGGATGCTTAGGGCGGTCGGGTTTTAAGGTTTCGGTTTGGGGAGGGTGTTTGGGGGTGTTGTTGCGTTGCTGGAGTCGTGTCACTTCATACGCGATCTGGGTTTAAAACGGCAAGTACCAAGCCCGAAGTGTGAAATCCTTCAGCGAGCTGAGTGCTTTCGACACGGTGGTCATAATCATACAAGTTGCCTAACCCGTGTGGATCTTCAGGAGATGGGCTTTAGGCTTCGAAGCTCTGAGCTTCAAACCCCTAATCCTTAGACCCCGCGCTTAGGGGTTTGGGTTTTGGCTTCTAGAGTTGATCCATTGCCAAGTGGCTGCCCGTGCCGAGCTCATGGGTGGTTCACGTTGCAGTCAGCCCTTGGAGATGATTTCGATGCCGGCTGCAGTGCTTAGACGCGAATTTCCAGAGTTTAGGTCTTAAACTTAGGGTTCCAGAGTCATTCTCTGGAGGCTCGATCTTGGCTGAGGTGCCACGGCCACCACAAGCGGGCACGCAACATCGCGGTCGGCGGCTTAGAATGACAGCAGGCCATATCCAAACTGTAAACGCTAAACCCTAAGCCCGAAACCGCAATGCGCCTCGAACACCCTCCCTCAGAAGCATACATAGCAGGATGCATGCATCCAGAATCCTGAACCTAACATCTTAACATCCTGACACCTAACACCCTAAGCCCTAAGCAACCCAACACTTTGAGCCCTGAAATAATCCCTAAACCCTGACGCCCTGATCCTAAACCCTAAACCCTAAACCCTAAACCCTAATCCCTCAACCCAACACCCTGAGCCTTTGAGGTGCGGAAGCAGCTCGGTGGGAAGCCCTGCAGGGGGAGCTTGGAGGACACGCGGCCGCCCGGCGAACTCTGAGCATGTTTTGGTTTAGGGGTTAGGGTTTAGGTTTAGGGTTTAGGGTTTAGGGTTCAGGTTTAGGGTTTAGGGTTTAGGGTTCAGGGTTTAGGGTTCAGGGTTTAGGTTTAGGGTTTAGTTTTTTTTTGGGGGTTTTAAATTGGGGCTACGTGTTGGAGTTCGAGGTGTGGGCTTGGATTTCGAGTGGTTCAGGTTTCTTGTGGTGCCTTATATATCATCTACATGTGTACATATATTTACATATGTGAATATGTATATATATATATATATATGTATCTACATAACCTATATATACATATGTGCATATGTACAGACACAGGCACACGAACATAGGTATTTTTTTTACTCGTCTAGGGTTTTAGGGTTTTAGGGTTTTATGGTTTAGGTTTTAGGGTTTTAGGGTTTTAGGGTTTAGGGTTGAGGGTTTAGGTTTTTAGGGTTTAGGGTTTTAGGCTTTTGGGGTTTAGGCGGGTTTAGGACTTAGAAGGTCAGTAAGCAAGCTCACTACGGTTACATAAAATCTAAGTACTGCCACACATGACGGTACCGTAGCCTTGCTTACGAAGTTACTAAGTTCCCTGCTCCTTGAGCATACTGTAGGGTTTGGGGCTCGAGGGAGACCCTCCAGACCCCTAAGTCCGAATTCCTCCGCCCAAGCCTCTACTGCACCCCTTTATATTATGCTATACCTGTTTAGGGTTTAGAGTTTTGGGGACCAGCACCCAGACTCTACTGTACCCCTTTATATTATGCTATATCTGTTTAGGGTTTAGGGTTTAGGGCACCGGCACAAAGAATTCTCGGGCTTGCAGAGGCCATGCAACGTGCACATTAGCTGCGGTGTCATGTCCGCGGCAGCCTGAGTCGCGGGTTTCGGCTTTAGTGGGCACGGGTTTCGAATATAACCCCTTAACTTGATGCTGCTTTGTTGTCGTTGTTGTTGTGGGGTTCCTGTTCTTGTTGTAGCTGCTCCTGTTGTAGCTATGGTTATTGTGATACGAAGACCTCCTGCTGATAGTCTACGGCTCGAGAGTTACAACCCGGTTGAAGCAGGCGCTGCACTCCTAATGCTTTCTAAAGCGGCCTGAATAATTACCTATGCTATGTTGGGGGGTCCTTATTATAGTGATAGTTTAATATCCCCCAAACCCTATTCTAATTATTAAGGCCCCTACATTATTTTTGGGGGTTCCTTATGATAGTTATTATATAATATCACCCCCAAAACCATATTCTAATTATTACGGCCCCTAGATTAGCCCGAAACCCCCAAAGCCACAGTGAGACGAGGTGGATTGCCGCTACTCCCATTGGCTCCCTTGGAGCGACTGCACCAGGATCGAAAGCCCAGGGCACCCTAATATTAGGAACCCAAAAAAGACATAAGCATAGGCATTTTAAAGGAATATCCCTACCTTATTGGGCTTCATTATAAGGGGATATATATGGGATATCCCTATCCTAATTTTTGCTTATGTGCTTTTTTGGGGCCTTATAACAAGCCCTAGCACCCTCGGCCCAGAAAGTCAGGGTTTAGGGTTTATAGGGAGGGTAGACCTACGGCCTATAACTTAAGACCCCGCAGTGTAACGTTACATGGTATGGGGGCTAATCCTTCAGATTTGGGGTTAGGACTCGGGGGTATCGTGTCGGGGCTGACATGAGATGCAAGATTCTAGCTTCTTGAGGGTTCCACTGCATGTTTGCAGGAACATCCCCTTGAAAAGATCCTCACCAATATAAGAACCGTGGTAACACCCCTGATGATTATGCAGGCCCCTGTACCGTTGCCTCAAGCGACCCTTTACAGGACTTGTGGAGGGGGTCTCCGACATCGGCGCCGCAGCATCGAGCAGCACGCAGAAGGTGAGGTGGTAGGGTTTTATGTAGGGTTTTGCAACGGCTGTTATACAGTGGGTATAAGCGCGTTTGTAACAGCTTTAGAGCGGTTTGTGGGTTTTTGAGGGGGGGGTTGGTTTGGAGCTTGGGTTTCAGGATTTGGGGTTTGGGTGGGATTTGGAGTTTCAGGAATATCGGAGCCTCAGCTGGACAGGGACCCTGATTCACGAACCCTTCTCTAAACACCAAAGAGGCTGCATAATGTAACCCTACACCCTAAATGCTAAACCCGCAACTCTAGACCCGAACACCTAAACAGGGCCGAGAAACGCCTTTCCGGTCCAAATCTGGAGCTTTCTCGCGGCTTGTCTTTGTAGGGTTTACGATTCAGGATATAGGGTGCAGGCTGGGGTTTGTAGTGTTGCCAAGTTCCCCTTTAAGTGCTCGTCTCCTACTATCCCTACAGCCCACAAAAGCAATCCCAAAACCCTCAAGTCCTAAATCCTTTAGCTTTAAACTCCCTAAACCCTAAACCCTAAACCCTGAACCCTAAACCCTAAACCCCAAATCTAATCCTAAATCCTAAGCTCAAAGCCTAAGTCCGAACTCCCGAAGCTTTGCAGGGATGGGCCGCCAGTGCGACGGCAGCTTGGAGCAGGCATAGGGCTGCACCCTAAAGAACCTCCTTTTTTGGGGTTGCTTATTATGATTTCCTTATATCAGTCCTGAAAAAGGTGGGTTCTTTGTGGTCCGTAATCATCAGTTCTCAGTCTGAGTTAACTTGGGGCCCTACTTATGAGTGCGTTGGTTTTTGGGTTTTCGGCTGGGAGGCGGGGGTTGGCAGCGTTGAAGGCAAGTTCTGACCGACAGCACGGGAACAGCAGCACTAACCCTTTCAGTGACTCATTAGTCGAAAATGGGGACAAACAATCAGAGAAGTAAGACCAAGGAACATCATTCATAGTTTACATTATTGTCAGAATGGTCATCATCATCATCACCATCATCACCATCATCATCATCATCATCATCATCGTCATCAGCATGTTTTTCATCACCATCGTTTCATCATCAGCATCATCATCATCATCATCGTCATGACCCTCCTCCTCCTCCTCCTCCTCATCACCACCACCACCATCATATTCATCATCATCAGTATCATCATCATCATCATCATCAGCATCATCATCATCATCGTCATCATCATCAGTATCATCATCAGTATCATCATCATCATCATCTTCACCAGCATCATCAGTATCATCATCATCATCATCATCATCAACATCATCATCATCATCATCATCATCATCATCGCCATCATCGTACCCTGGTGTATCAAAACCAAACCCTAGGAGCTATCGTCATTACCCTATAATGCGAGTACTGCAACGCCTGCACTGCTTAAACGACCAGGTGGGGCCTTGTGGGGCCAAATTCTGCGAGGGCCAAGCCCCGGTTGACTGCGAATGGGATGCCTGGTGCGACTGGTGCGCCCCCTCTGCCGCAATCTGAACGGTAAGGCAATGTCTTGAATTCTTGTGGTCTTTTGTTGCTGGGGGTTTGGGATGTTCATGTTGTGTCTTAGCTTGGAGCTTCTTGGGCTTCATGGGAAGAGAAGGCTTGGGCATGTGGTCTTCACATGTTACATGCATCGCCCGCCGCCGCAGCCGCTGCTGAAAGAATGTTCGGCACACCATGTTTCAAGGGTTGCCCATAAAGAAGCTTTCGGGTTCAGTCTCTGGGTTTCTGGGTTGAATGCTTGGATACTAATGCACCAGCTGCTTGCAACGCTCGTCATGGGCAAGCAGCTGACGGCTCGTGGCATCAAGGCTGCCTGGGTCTGTGAAAATGCATGCTAAAGCCTGGTGGCCCAGAAACCCTCAAAGCCCCGAAGCCTGCAACCTTACAGCCCATAGTCCCACATCGTAAACCCTCGGGAATCCCAAACGTGTTAGTCCGTGATCCCCATTCTCACTAATGGCATAAAGTGCCCAACACTCAAGCCTAAAGCTGTAGACTCCAACATAGAACCACCAGACTCCGAAAACCCTAGAATCCTTGACAACCGCTTTAAGCAACATTCTTCACCCCCTTCTGGAGCCAAAAGCCCTACTGCGAAAGCAAAGCCACAGAGCGCCCCAAAGCCCTAAACCCTAAACCCTAAACCCTAAACCCTAAACCCTAAACCCCAAACCCTAAACTCGTAAAACCCAAAGCCGTAAAGCTCCAAAACCCCCGGTCTGTGAGGCGCCTGGTCTCAGGCTCGGGACCAAGGTGGCGCAGGCTAGAGGGTTTATGGGGCTTATGGGGTTTATCGGGTTTGTAGGCTTTTAGGGTTTATGAGCTGGCTTAGGGCTTAGGGTTTAGGGTTTAACCCTCGACCCTCGACCCCTTCATGTCTAGGTGAGGGTTTAGGTTTAGGGTTTAGGGTTTAGTGTTTAGGGTTTAGGGTTTAGGAGACCGCAATAGGCGCGGCGCTTAGCACCACGAGAGAGGATCTCCGGCCTTGCGAAACGACCCCTCGGCTCGTAATCATCGCAATCATGAAACAACAATTTTTGCAATGATAATAAGTATAAATATAGGACTAGCAATAATCAGAAGCATAATCAGAATAAAGAATACTACTGAGAATAACACTAACACAAAATAGTCATAATAACAACAAGAAATAACAATAGTAGTGATTGTTTCCATTATCGTAGTCATAATACTAGTCATACCCATAATTGTTATAATCCTCGTAATCATAGTAATAATCATAGCAATACGGACCAAGCTCTTGTGGTCGGCCCTGACCTTCGACAGGCTGCGCAGAAGAGGCGTGGTTCCACGGTGGCCAAGCCCTCCAGCAGCACCTGGGGAGGTCTTAAAGCTCGGGGCCTTGTAATAGGGTTTAGGGTTTAGGGTTTAGGCAGTTTAGGGTTAAATTAGAGTGCACTAAAGAAAACGAGGATTTAGAGATGTAAGCTACTTCGCATTGTCTGGGACGCCTTTGTCGGGAAATGCCAGGGTTGGGGATGGGCCACAATGCATTTCAAGCTAAGCTTACCTCCGAGAGTTCAAACCCAAACCAGAAGCCAGAAACCTCAAACGGCCTTAGACCCCCCAAATTGACCCTTAAGACAAAGATCACATGATTCGCCCTAAAGTCCGAAAGCCACCAAAACCTGAAAGCCACCCTTATACTTCCGGCTTTTCCGAAAAGCCGTAGAAAAGACAGGAGAGTTGTTCCTGCTGGGAGGCTTCCTGTAGCGGTTTAGGGTTTAGGGATTTAGAGGTTCAGGGCTCAGGGTTCAGGGTTCAGGGTTCAGGGTTAGGGGTTCCGGGTTTAGGGTTATGATTTAGGGTTTAGGTTTAGGCAATAGAGCCGAACGCCCCGTTCGAAAGCAACTGAAAACACTGTAAATCACCATCCCAGCCTGATGAAGTCCAAGAAAATCCTGCCAAACCCTAAACCCGAAACCCTAAACCCTAAAACCCTAAAGCCCTAAACCCTAAAACCCTAAAGCCCTATAAACCCTAAACCTAAAGCCCTAAACCCTAAAACCCTAAGCCCTAAAACCCTAAAGCCCTATAAACCCTAAAACCCTATAAACCCTAAAACCCTAAACCCTATAAACCCTAAAACCCTATAAACCCTAAAACCCGAAACCCTAAAACCCTAAAGCCCTAAAACCCTAAAACCCTATAAGCCCTAAAACCCTAAGCCCTAAACCCTAAAACCCTAAAGCCCTAAAACCCTAAAGCCCTAAACCCCAGACCCTAAACCCTAAACCCTAAAACCCTAAAGCCCGAAAGCCCTAAAGC